TTACTGCCAATCCATAATCAGCATTTAATTCCTTACACAGAGGATTCCTGCATATTTACAAGCAAAATAAATAAAATACTTGCTACAGCATCATTCCATTAAAACATAATAAGCACGTATAAAAATATAATGTTAAGTTTTCACTATTTCTAAAATTGACATGCTAATAATTATTCACCTATAAACAACAACAATTATTGCTTTTTTATTCTAAATCTATTCTCAAACAAAATTTTGAACTGAAATTTTAACTAAATGAGACAAAAATGCTAACATGCCATTATTAAATTAATTTATTGTGATCACATTTTAGAGTTAGCAATTATTTACAGACAATTATAATTCATAACAAATAAATAACATAATTCAATCAAATTATAAAATTTAACTGAAATATAAAAGCTCTAAAATTATATAAATACAGTAATGCATACGTTTAAAACTAATCAAATCCGACTTAAAGGCAGACACATTGTATTTCTAGCAAAAATGTTAACAATTGTCAATAAATTGCATTATTTAAAATAAGACCATAAAAGAATCTACTAAGGAAGCCACCCAAGATTTCTTTTCAAGTATACACTACTAAAACTACAGCTTGTTTACAAAAGGCTAAACAAGTTAACAAAAATTAAAATTATTTTTATTTAAAAATGAGATTCAATATTACTTAAGCAATTTTCTATTTTCACATGGGAAAAAAACATAACTACAAATGAAAACAAAAAGGACTAAAACTACGATTTTTTTATTCTGGACCCATTAATCTTTCTAAAACAATGGATATTTTTATATGCTCATGAAAAAGCATAAAATACCTTTTTTTACATTAAAAAAAATCTAAAAACTGCAAATTACCTAATCAGTAATCTGGTGAATTATGTAATTCACTTATATATTTGCATTTAAATATGCCAAATAATGATTCGAATAAATGGATTTACTTTCAGTCTTTGACATTTTGCTTTAAAGCAAAATTGAAAAGAAAACAGTAGAAATTATTTGTTTGCATCCTTTCCCAGAGACAGATTAATGGATATTTGCATCTTGCAATGTATTAAATAATACATTATGCATCAATTTTTATTCCTCAATCAGACAGCTATAAGGATCTAAAGCACATAAAATACTTTCCACAATGAATAAAGTTTATTAATTAATTCTTAATTCAGCAATATGTTCATAGTGAAATGCAGTTAATTTAGTTAAAAGTTTAATGAATCGGGATACAAAAAGTAATATTTCTAAACAAACATTACAATAACAACTAATCAAGCAAACATATGGCATATAAAACCATATTAAGAATAGTTAGTAGAAAATGCTAACTCTTAGACTCAAAAGATTATACAAATACCAATGGAATATTCTACCTTGGACTTCCAACCTTGCAAAATGGTATTTCAAAGTGTATGATATAAAGTAATTTATGTCCTTGAATGATATGATTACACAAACAAACTAGATGGAGATGGAAACTCAAATATTTCCTTAAAAGTTGGATATTAAAAAGGATCAGAACTACTATTCAATCTAATGAGCTCAGTAGAGCTGAGTCTTTATATGTGTTTGATACAAACAAACCTCAAATGACAGTTTTAATATTATATTATAGGAGCAAAGCAAACTACAAGATCGTTGTTTAAAAGAGAACTTCAGCCCCCCCCCCCAAAAGGAGAGTCTATATGATAAAGCCTGAAACGCTTTAAAAATAATTTTATAAAAGTTATTTTAATAATGATTTCAAATTTGGTCCACTTTTGATTTTATGGCACTTCCATTCACATATACATACCAAAAAAAGTTTTTATAATAACAGACAAATCATGAGTATTTTACCTACATAGCAAAGAATTAACAACAAGCACAGATTTCATCGCTTCCAAAATACTAATTTATAGCTATACAAAATTATAATAACATTGTGATAAAACACAAATATATTTTACACAAGCAAAGATGTACAATAGAATTTAAAGCAATTGAATTATAAGAGAACTATCACAATAGGAAAGTGTAATAATACATTATTCTCTTTACATAATATACATAAATTAACACAATAAATAAGTTAATACTATTCACAAAATATTTTTAATTAAATCAATAATATAAGCAATACATAACAAGTAACTGGAAATATTAGATGAATAAAAATTAATTTTACATTGTAATATAACAGCACAGGTGATGATCAGAAATATGGAAAGCAATTCTATAGCTGATGAACATAATTTATGATGTCAAAATATCTTTTACTTATCACACTAATTCTGTAAATGTTTACAAAATTAATGACCTTGATAAATATGTTTCTTGTGCAATGTCCTAAACTAATTATTATTATTATTATTATTATTTTTTTAGTTTAGTTACTAAGAATGCATATAGCTTATATTTAAGTAGCTCACTGACATCCTGATCTAGATGCCTTTGAGAAAACATATCTCAAGTTGGGAATTATCTTCATAAAAATGTTTCAAACGTCAAAGAAACAATGATAATTATGTAAAAAAGTTTTAAAAAAATTCTAAGTAGATACATTACTTTCCTTGTTAACTTTTATTTTAATTCATATACCATTTCATAGTAATTTTTCATAGCACAAGCTTTAAGAATAATATGAAAGGAACTTAAAGATGTTCACAAGTCGTAAAAGAAAACTAAGAAAATTTTATAGAAAAGGAAAATGAAATTAACATTTTATCAGTAATCAGAATATTAACTTATTAATGATACAAACTGTAATATATAGTCATTTTTTAAAAGGAATATAAAGAATATTTTAAAAGTTTAAATAATGAAATAGTTCAGAACAGCATCAGATGTTTTGAATAATTAGAGTGTTGATTGTTTAAATTAGGACAAAAATCAACTTCAGCAATAATTTTGGAAAAAGTCAATACAAAGTTCTTTTTCAATAATCATATACAATACTGTCTAAAAATAATGATAAAAAAATCAAGATCTCTTTTTTTTTTTTTTTTTTTTTTTTTTTTTTTTTTTTTAAGGAGAAAAATTATTTTATTCCATGAAAGAGAGACTTTTATCCCATTCTCTTAAAAGAAATGGATGTTCTGTATGATCAAACTTAAAATCCCATGAATTTCACATAATTTAAAATTCAAGTTAGTGCACATCTTTATCATCTATTAAAATGATAATTACTTATAACAGAACTACAACAAAAAAAAGTATTATAAATATCTGTTTAATTCTTCAACATAAAACAATGTTAACAATTCTTAAAGGAGAAATCTATAAAATTTATGCAAATAAACGTGAATAAATTCTCACGAATTTTGATTGTGCTTTAGATTTACATAAATTTTGTTATAAAAATATTTACTAAAAATTTGAATCATAAATAAAATATAAAAACATCTCATTATTAGTTATTAAATGGTATTTTATTTAATTCATGAATATAAAAACTAAAATTATTATTGCAGAAAAAAACAATTGCTCAAAAAATGTATTGCATGACCTACTTTACATAAAATGTGAAAAATTTACTATCATAATATTTTTCCACATACTACTAAAGAAAAAAGAAAAAAGCAATAAATCTGAAAACATTCTGTAATAATAATGGAATACACATGGGAGAAAGAAATTGCGCATCACGATCCATTTTATGCTACATATTTTGCAACATTGAACAAAGAAAAATAAGAAAAAAATTTTCAATACTTCAGCAATATTTCACCAATATTTTGCTGTTAAATTGTGTTTAATGAGGATAAGATCTAGCAATATTTATAATAGATATTTATGAAAAGTATAGAAAATTATTTCAACCACAATTCTTGTTTTCAGATTATCATATTCATCCCACAACCTATTATAAGCCCACCAGCAACCAAGTGGTAAAGTCGCTGAACACTAGTAGTTAAACATGGCTTCGATTCCAGGCTGCGGACAGACGTTTCTGCGCTTTTTCCCCCAAGTCCTTCAAACAGGCACCTCTCCTCTCAAAGGGATAGCCTGCATGCTTTGCCAAAATAAAATAAACCAAACAAAAACTATAACAGTATAATTTTAATAACAATTAATTATTTTGGCTTCACTTTACTTTTCATATATATATATGAAAAAGGCATTGTATATAGATATTTATTCAATTTAAAAAAATTTCAATTTTTTTCCCTCCCACTTCAATTTTTATTTTTGGTAAATGCAAATTAACCATTTTTTCATAAAATAATAGATATCATGAAAAAAGATATACGGATTTATGAAAAAAATCATCATACGGAGGTTATCCCTTCCAGTAAATTCCTACTTTACTAGGTTCATTTTAATAGTCAGCATAAATTGGTTTCCTTGTCTGAATGCATCATTTCAAGTTATTATAACAAAAATAAAACAAGAATAAATTAGAAAAAAGGTACACAAAACAACTGTGATCCAAAAAAGCAGCAATAACAGCCACTAATTTGAGCATATGTTCAATAACTTTCAAAATAATAACAGTAACATATAAAAAACAGTGTTCTTTTGTGTCAAGTGCACTGTACTTTTTCCTAAAATTTTCAATGGAAACTTGATTGAAGACAAAAGTCTTGATACATGGAAAAAAAGTCTGATGAAAAGCAGAATGACTGTTGAAGGTCAGTTAAGGCAAGACCAGGTAAGAAAAATAACCTACCTTATTTTAAACAAGTTGTGAAATATTTTAAAATTATTTTAATCATCAGATATGAATCTATACTAATCCTCAGATGTAAAATTAATAAACAATTTATAATTAGTTTTAATATCATTGATTAAACACAAGAAACAAAAATCAGAATATGCAGTTGAGTACTAATAAACATATAATTTGCAATGTATTTCTTTAAACAAAACTTAATTTATGTAAGCAATGAATAAATATAACTTTCCTTATTAAAAATTTAATTACCAATCATTAAAATCAATCTTAATTCATTATATCAATTTTAACAGAAATCATCAATAATTTTGAAAATATTTCAGGACTTTATAACTAACTAGCCTTAAAATTTTTTCATTACTATTCAGTATCACAGTACAAGTTCTTTTTTTTTTTTTTTTTTATACAAATAATCTGTCTCACATAAACAGTTTAAGTATATAAAATTAGAATCGTGAATTAACACACTTGTACTATGTAATATATTTAACATGCTTCACAAAACAGAATCATTTAAAAAGAGATGTCTGAAATATGTGCAACTATTATGCACATACTAAAAATAAATGTGAAGACCATGCTTATTCTCAAAATGGTAACGCATATATCTCAAATACAGTATCTGAATACATCAAAATGATCACTGATAGTCTGCAGCCAGAACAAAAAATGATATGTTACAAGCACAGGTAAAAGGATTCTGTATAGGAATCAGAATCACCACCTATACATTTTTTGGACATGCTTAAATAAGTTCATACCTTAAATCAGAAAAGAATAATGACATTTTTTAAACTACCTGAATAATCAGATATATTGATATGAAGCAAGATTTACCAATTGCATTCATAACTATTAAAAATAGGTTTGAAAATAAATTAGCTTGAGACTGGAATGCCAGTGAAAATGTGCAATGCTAAAAGTTGCAAAATAAATGCTGCATAAATTTATACATAGTATCTCCAATACATAAGTTCTTAAACTATCTCACTGCTAAAGAAATCTAAAGATTTAAATAGAATAAATGTATATCCTGATTACAGAATTATACAATTGCAATGCTTATAAAATGACAGCAGCATCTTGATCTTTTAAAATAAATTTCAAGAATACATTAATTTATTTTGCATTCTTCCAGTCTTAATTCTCAATTGTGTATTTCTTTTAATAAAATAGCAATCCCACTTCAAATTTCTCAGCTACAATCTACTGGATGGCTTAGCAGTAATGATTTTGGCAGGATTCTTTCACCTTGTACAACACTGAGAAAGAAAAAATTTCAAATATCTGTCAAAGTTTAATTTTTTTGTTCATATCTGATATGTTTTACAATAAATTATTTAAAACAATACCAAATTAAATATAAAAACATTAAATTTTGGAAATAGGAATTTTTAAATGGAAAACTGGAACAAGGAAATTTAGAAAAAAATTTTCAGGTTTTGAATTATTTAGTAGTAATGAATACTTTTGCATCAAAAAATTATACTTTTTAAATCTTTAAATATTTTTCAATAAAAAGTACAGAAAAGAGTACTCATACAAAAATATTTAAATAAAAAAGTTGACATAAAATAGGTTTTAATATCTTTTTAAAGAGGACATAAACAGTAAGTTTGTTTTCCCCCTCTAATAAAATTTGACTTTTTTCCTCTTCCCCCCTCTAAAATTTCTAATATAACAAGGAAATATAAAGGTCTCATTAATAAAAGTTAAGTTTACAAATTTCCATTTAAATTTTAAACTAACTATAATATTAAACTACTAATAATATGAGAACCTTACTTGTTAAATAAGTATTAGAGCTACAGGATAGCATAACACATACCTGCCAGCCTTGAAATATGAAAAACGGAGATTTCACAATACATAGTGATATCATTTCAAAAAAACTCCAGACTGACTTGAATTAATTTTCTAATACATGCTTTAGGTTACTGAATTATTTTTAATATGACTCTGATGTAAAATATATGACTATTTAATTGGATATTCTAAATTTTAGAATGTTCAGCAGATTTCTTTTTGCACTTTTTTTATGCTTTCATAATTCATATATTTCATTATTCATAATTCATATATTGAGAAAACCTTGAGTAGAGAAGAACAGCTTATATTTATCAAAGCACTTGTATGATAATTTTTTTTTTTTTTTTTTTAATCTGAAATGTTTCAGATTTTAAATTACATCTAAAGGGGCTTTTTTTAACGTTTCGTGTGTTACCTTTATTTATTAAATATCACGTTCTACATACTCAAACCATAAAATTCAGTTCAACAGCAATATCGCAAATAATTTTTAAATGAGCATATCTTTAGAATTTCTTATACAGAGTTTTGCGTGCTGCAGAAAATTTTTTTTTCATAGTGTTGTTTAGTTTGTTAATAAAAAATTCGTTGAAGTGTTACAAAATACGAAATTGATACTAAAACAAATTTAAAATTCAAATTAGGGCTTCCACATGTCCATATTCTATGGAAGATTAAATTATTCAAATTTTGATGGCTCTAGGTACCATTGTTTTATCACAATGTGAGAAACATACATACATTCATGCAGATTCTTCATTATTTAATTTCTTTAAATACAGGGCATAAACATTTGGTAGCAACAATTTGAAAAGTGAAACAACACTTATCGTGAATCGACACAAAATGCCAAAATGAAATTAATAGTCCTTCTAGGCAAATTGCCCCTTTTGTACTAATAATTAATGTATATATTATCATATGGATAAACTTAACCATTTATTGATATAAAACAAAATTAAATATAAATATTAAATAACAAACCATTGATTGATTGATTGAATCTTCATAAAAAGTTTTGCAGATGTTTACAGTAGATAATGACAATTTGAATCAAATAAAATTTAGTAAGAATAATTACACTGCAAATCAGTAGGGGTTGAAAATCGAATTTGTTCAATTTAAATTCAATTTATTTAATAAATATCACTTATTACTAAGAAACAAACGTTTTCTCTAGTAAAGACGAAAAACTCTAGTAAAGTTGAAAAATAATTTTCAACTATATTTTTTAATACTATTACAGATATATATAATAGTATTAAAAAATATAGTTGAAAATTATTATTAATTAGTTTCAAAGATAATACAGGTTTTCAAACTTTTTGAGCCTATGTCTTCTTTGAGGATCTACATTTTTTCTGTGGTTCTCTAGCAGAATATCTGATGAAATACCTTTTAAAAAATTGAGTGAGTGAAAAACCTTATACAATTAAGAGTTATTCACTATCTTATTAAATGCTGTTTTTCTGAATATGAAATAAAAATTTAAAAATCTGGGGGGGGAACTGAGTGTTTATTTGATATTTGTGGGATAATATAAAAAAATTTTCAGTTATTGAAAAAATTCGATAGCATCATCACTAGCTCAGAATAGATATAGGTAGAATATATATAATCTGAAATTTCTGCAGAAAAATACATTCTAATGTTGCTGTATGAGCAGTTAAAATATTTTTGAACAATAATAATAAAAATAATTATTATTATCACAACTGGCCATCATTCAAGTCACCCAATGGCGCCTAGCAGAAAACACCTACATGGGATATTTCCCAATTCATTCCATATAGTTTGTATCTCCTTAAAAAAATTAACAAAAAGAATAGATCACTTAGACAAAGCTACTCAAATGCTTCATACAGAATTCATAGAGTGACAAAAGTTACATTACATAAAGTAAATGTCCTTTAAAATGACCTGGATAACAAAATCATTGGGGAACTAATTGTGTAATAACTAAGTGGGGGAACTAATTGAAAGCTGTGAGCTGAAACAATGGAAACAGCACAAGAGAAATTAACAGAAGAACAAAAGCACTTTCCACAAGCTTAACTCACATAACATTATGTGATGCAGAAAAAATTTTCACAAAGGCGCAGAACTTTTTTTAAAACCACAAGATTGCATTCCTCAAATATTAAAGGTTCAGGAAACAACAATATACTATAAAATAACAACACTTATACACTAAAAAATTAAAAAGACTGCTCAAGAAATAAACAGAAATTTAAATAATATAAATAAAAGGAAATACACGTGTAGACTGGCCATCAAAATTTAATAAATTTTAATGAAAATAAAAGTTTGCTCCAGCAAGTCTCATTCACACGAACAAAGAGAAAAAAAGCACACTTCTGCCTTGAAATAAGATAGTGAATAAAATAAGATTTTCACAGCAGAAGGTTATGAAATACTTAGTGCACCAAGTTTTAAAACTGTCCAGATCTGGTCAAATTACATGAAAGGAATGCAAATCACAAACTCATTCAAAACTTCCTTTTGACACACAGTCTTCGAGAATTGTCTTTGAACTAAGAGAAGCTGATAATTAAAAAAAAAGAATACACAATACAGTGTCTCTTGATATATTTATTAACATGAACAATGTAACTGACTTATATTCTTTTAGCAATAATGGCATTAGTAGCTTAGAAAGAAAGGGTCTATACTACTCTCTTGTCTCTCCCTCTAAAAGCCAGAATGCCTTATCTCAGCTATGAGCTGCAAAAATTTAAAGTGAGGTCGCAAGGTTGATAAAAATCTGAATTGATGATGTATAACTAAAGGTTGAAGCTCTGGCTGGGTTGCAACTTTTTTTTAGGCTGTTTGCATTTTTATGAGGTTGAACTGCCATCACGTTTGAATATCACAGCTTTATATGACTGTCTAACTATGGTTTATAGTCATAAAGCTATGAAATTTGACACCATAAATAGAGAACACAATACTTCAATCTACCGCAGAAAGGTACTTGATCATTAAAGCTAATTGGAAAAGGCTTTCTTACTGAAATCCATATATTCTGTCATAATCTGGTTGACTAATTAGTAAAATTTACACCACAGCCCAGTAACTTCAATAATGCAGAATTAAAGTACTTTTATAAAATCATTTCTTGACACTGAGAGTTTCCCATTTCAATGCCTGATCACAACAAACTCTTCATATTTTTGTAATTTCTTGTAATCTATTTTATTTTTAATACAAAATTTAGAATAGTGCTAAAAATTTTTATTTACAGCTAAGAAACTAAATTCATTTTCCTTTTATCATTTTCAAATTTAAGTAAAATGCTAGTTCTTTTTCTGCAATGTGTGACAATATGTGAGCTACTAAGAAACAAGTCTCCAAATAAAATTCTACACTTTCCCAATGCTATCAAATCTCTATTAAAATTTGAGGGAAAGAAGCCAATTAACTACCCCCCCCCCAAAAAAAAAAAAAAAAAAAAAACTTTTCAGCAAGAGAAAACAATCAGTCTAATCATTTTGTAGTGCTACATCCCACCACATTTAAATACACGAATGATAATGAGTCCTGATCACTAATGACATCATTATCTTAACAATACACAGAATTAAGTATGAATTTATGCACAGTATAATTAAATAAAAGTATGAAAAGAAAATATTAAATCTACATAATTTACATATGTATATAATATTACATATAAATACATAATTCACTTAACAGTAAATGAAAAGCAATATTAACAATTATAAATTATTACATACATAGATATCGCTTATAGACAACACTTGAAACAATACAAGCCAAATTGCAATTTTTAAAAGTGTAAATAAAGGAAGTTTCGACAAAACAGTACACTATATACATTTGTCTTTGATGAATAAAACAAAAAAGGGGAGAGAAATTCAAAACATTTTTTATGTGTTATTTTTTTAATGGTTTAAAAAATTAATTATTTTTCACTATATATATATAGATATATAAATTTCACTTCTCAACAATAAAATATAATCTTTCATTAAAAATTTAAAAACAATTAAAAAACAATTTTATACAATTCATAAATATATACATAAATATATATTTGCATTTACATGTAGACTAAAAATATCATGCTGAGTAATAACAGCCGCAGAAATATTAAGATTCATACAGTAAGAGTGCGATTATGATAGTCCTCTTCGGAAAGCCGCCTGTCATTATGCTGTTCTTGTTGTAGTCTACTAAGAAGCAAATCTCGTTGAAGCCGTTCCTCATCTTCAGCTTCCTTTAGCCATTTCTTAGAAGAGAAAAATGCATTAAAATGAATGAAAAAAATATTGCTTAGAAACTGATGCTATTATAAGTTATACAAGATTAAATTTCATAGTTTATTAATAGTATAATACATTTGAAATATTCATTTTGTTTCAAAATTTGCAAATTTCTACTTTATTATATATGCTGAAGTGGTATAACTAAATTGGTAGTTTAATAATGTGCAGTTCATTATACATACATTGTGGTAATATGTACTACTAGAGGGAAAGACTGTATCCAGAAGGATGTCATGGATTAAAATATTATTTGAAAGGAAGTGAGTAGTTACCAACAATGATAAATGATTAAAAAGTTAGATTGGTATGTCAGATATTTATTACACAATTTATAAAAATGCAATAATTCATAATAGTATATCAGGCCACCATTATTGCTAACATTCTGCCACATGCTGTCATAAAGTTTCCTAATGTAGTCCTTCACTCATCCCAAGTAGATTGGATCTAGTCTGTTGTTCTTGTAGATTTTGTGGCAGCAGTGGGGGTCTTGACACAGCATATAGCATCCCAGAGATTTTTCTATAGGGGATAAAGTCTTATGAAATCTGTCAATACAACTAGCCATGGCTGTGAGACAAACTTTTGAAATATCTACAATATAAGGTTAAGCACTGTTCAGAGAGCATCTTTGAGCATGTGTTTACAAGTGGTAGGGCAATGATTAAAGGACCTCATCAGCATACCTTAGGGCTTTTAAAGTGCCCTTGATGAAAACCAATGGTGATTATGAAACTGCACCTCATAACACACACCTGCTGAATATCTAACAAAAAATTTTCAATTTCTCGAACTTCAGAGATTGTGGCTAAAATTAAAGTACTTCTGGATTCTGAACGTTGGATGAGTGTCTGAATGACTGTGGAGACGTTGGGACCTAAAAAATCAACTCTACATCAAATCATCAGGGAAGAACTTCAAATGCAGAAAATTTGTGCCAAGCTGGTTCTAAGAATTTTGACTAACACACAGAACAAAAAAATGCAAGTTATTTTCATGTGAATTGTTTGAATGTGTAACAAGTAACCCTAATTTTTTCAAGTGAGTGGTTACTGTTGATGAAACACAGGTTTTCAGTATGAACAAAGGGAGAGAGTGGAGAATGCAATAGGCCTCAGTCTCCTTGTCAAAAGAAGACTTGAACTCAGTCTCATTACTTTCTAAACAGACCCTGTGTATATATATGTTACCGTGAGAGCCGAAATTGGAGAATGTCGACTTTCACCGGAGAATGTCAACATTCACCAAATATGTCGGTGAAAGATCGAATATTTCATTACATTCTTGTACATTCGGACCCTCACCGGTGTATGTCGACAATAACAGATATGCTCTGGTGCATGTCGAAAAGAGAGGAGTGTATGTACACGCTGTCATTGCAAAAGGAAGTGTTCCACAAATAAATGCAGTTGTAAAAGCAAGGCCCCCTTGTGCAATTCAAAGTGTCATGATAGTTTAAGCTTGTTTGCCAATAAATAAGATTTGAATCACATCATTTAGTAAGTTTATAACTTCTATTATTTTCCTTTCTCATTTTGAATGTACTGTGTGTTTTAAGTTATGTTCTTATTTGAAGTTCTTAAGAACATAACTTAAAACATACAATAATAGTCTGCAAGTGCGTTTTTTCGCGACTGAATTACGGAGAAGGAAAATATAATAGTTCTTATATGTTCAACATTCACTATTACTACATGGTGAATGTCGACATTTATCATCAAATACTCAGAAATAAGAGTATTTGGAAAATATTTCAGGACATACACCAAGCGACTATGTGAATGTTGACATTCACCGGTGAAAGTCGACATTCTCCAGATTTCGGTGTTTCACCGTAACATATATATATATAATGAAGAAATAAAAATTAAATTAAATTATGAAAAAGGGCTACTCCCCAAGAGAAAATTAAAAAAAAAAATAAATAAATAAATAAATATTTCAAAATACAAAAATAGCAGGATATTGCATGACTTTATGTATCATCATTATACAGCAGAGTGCATGACGTAATTAAATGTATATCATTTAAATTTGACAAGCATATATGTGCATATATATATATATGTACATAACAAAAACTCAGAAATTTCAAATTAAGATGATATATATAGTACAAAGCCTTTAATTTGGACTTGTCGGGACTTTGCGATTCCGGATTAGGGGTTTTTTCGGATTATAGATCATCAATTTAAATCTGGTAAGAGGACATGCAGAAATTATAAAATTTAAAATATGAGAATGTAATTTATGAAATAAAGAGCAATTATGATCTAAAGGGTATCAAAATTTACATAAAAACGCTTAATATTTATTTGTTTACTTTATTAAACATTTCTTTCAATGTAAGTTGTTTTAAGTTGCTTCATAATTTGTGCTAATACTTTCTCTTTAATTCTATAAACAGACGTAATTTCTTGTTCAGTTCCACCGTTCAAGTCCTGTAATTGCTGTGTCGAGAATACCGACTAACTTGTCAATCATAATTTTTTCATTTTCAATAACCTCTCTATCACTTTCTTCACTATCGGAAACGGTACATCGAAACATACTTTCCCTTTGTAGATACTTTGGAAGCTTCAGAATCGGAAACTCTTTATGACATAATCATAAAGAGTCATATCATAAGATGACATAATCATAAGAGATCCTTACTTTTTATAAAATTGCTCTAACAGTCTGCAAAAAATAATAAGCCGGATCCAATTAGAAGATTAAGGAACAACGCAATCTGCAACATTAACTGAAATAGATAATTTTAGCCTAGCTTATACCGTCCATTAAACATTAAACGCGCATGCATAAACGTATTATGCACATGCGTAAATGCATATGTGCATGCATTTACGCATGTGCAGAAAGTTTGTAGCTTTGAGGTCCGGATTATAGATCATTCCGTATTATGAACTTCTGGATTAAAGACTTTGTACTGTATTACCAAAGTTGCGCAGCATACTTGATTGAATAATTAAGAGATAAATAATTCAACCATGAAGTGGAGCAACTTTCCAACAGGAAATACTCAATTTAAAATTAAAACAAAAACAATTCAATAAAATTAACAAAATATAACAAATTTGTATAAAATATACAATTGTTGAAAATTCCTTAGTCTTTTTCAAGCAGCCATAGAATTTTCAACACAGTAGTACTTCTGAATTATATCTAGATAAGTATGAATTCTTGAAACATTTGAAAAAAGTTTTAATTAAGCACCAATTAAGATTATCTAATTAAAATAATCAATTTGCTTTAAAAATGCAATAAAGTAAAAATTTTTAAGTGCTTTTAATTTAACTAATCATCATGATATAATCTGCTTTAATGTAATGCAAAAAATTTTTTTCAATTGAGAAAATATGAAAAACCATATGAAAACGGAAGGCTTACATAGGCTATTTGAGGCTATAATAAATTTCTTTTTAATATATTAATTTCAACATGTTCAGGATTATTATCTAAATAATGTTGAATTTTCTTAATTGATACAGCCTTTAAAAAAATGCAAAACAAAATTATATAAAATAAATATATTACCTTTACTTCTTCAGCATACATTTTTAAAGAAAATGAAAATTTTGTACGTGTCCTAGTACCCCGAAAAATTACTTGTGGAGAATCTTGGTCTCTTGCAAAAGCCATGAGCTGGGATTTTGATAGATTAACATTACTTCTGCAGAAATCTATTTCTTGTTGATTTAGCCCAACATCAACACGCACTAATGTCTCTTCTGCACAAAAATAAATACAATAAATATTTAAAATATATTCTTTATGATAAAATACATGGCTTCTTTTACAACAAAATATAATAATTGCATATTTAACATAATAAAAATTATAAAAATACATAAGTAAGATAAGTTTCATAACACTGCAGAAAAAAATGCAGTGTAATTAATTACATCAATATGAAAGTTTAAATTTAGTTTAAACAACAAAATAGAAATTATATAAGATTTATAAGGATGTATTTAAGAATTTTCAGTAAGCTTCATAAATTAAAAATAAAATAGCAAGACAGGAAGTATATTAAACATTATTTTGAAAAAGCATATCCTGACAACTGAAGTTGTTACTATGGTTAGAAGCAAAAATGTTATGAAAACTACACAAGGCAAAAACTTAATGATACAAAATATTGTGAAAAGAAAGCAAGGAAAAAACATCACAATTCTAAAATATCATGGTAAAACACATTGCTATCAAAAATAAAGCTTCTAAAATTTTTTCAGTTTTAGAACATCATAAAAAATATCATGGTAAAAAATAAAACACCTACAAATGATCACATGATAACATTGCATACATGTGTTTTTCAGGTTTTAAAAGTTGCAAACGTACATTCACTTAAAGACTTGCAAGTTAAGAAGAAATTAGGAATATTTTTACTTCTACATTTCATATTTTTTGACTACTACATTTTTCCTGAAAGAATAAGAAGGAAACTTAAGCATTCAAAATCTGATATGAGTAGAAAATTAATATTACATATAGCACTTAACAGAATTTTAAATTTATGTACTTAACTATTAACCCTTTTGCGCTGACTATCACATATATGTGCCAGCAAGAAACGCACTCATTTCCCGGCTGACACGCTGGCATGCCAGAGCGTTTTCTCATTCACCCCGGCCATCACACATTTGTGGCAGTGTCCTTATAACTTTCGGCGCAAGATGGCATTGTATGTCCATATTATTTCAGATACATGTAAGATTTGACCTTCTACTCAAAATGAAAGCAGCATGATTCACATACATGTGGTTTTTGATGATATAAACATAAAGGGAAAGAAATGTTTCTGAATGGCATGCCTTATGATGGCTCTTTAAGCTATCATATATGTTAAAATTTTAGCACTGAAATATCTTTTTCCTTTATTTTACATGAAAAAATATTTAAAAAATTGCTTACATTGAGAAATAATTTTTGGAAGTGCTATTCAAATTATTCCAAAGTTTTAATTAATAAAACACATTAATAAACTTTAAATTAATAAAAAAATACAAGAAAGTCTGTTTACAGAAAGTAAAATTTTTCACGTGAACTGGAAGATAGACACTCGGTGAGCTCAGTCTCTAACAAAATGTCCATATGAGAATCACTAGAAATACCACTTTCTATCTCTTTAGGAAATGAATCATCACTAATTGGTTTATTTATCATTCGTATGACAAAAAAACGCTTGCTAGCATAATAAATTGAAGTCGTATAAGGTATGTAAGTAAATTGAAAGCTTTCTGAAATAAAAGCAATGCAAAACGTAATAGAACCTTACATAGTAACCCTAAAAGAATTTACATAGTATCAAAAAAAGCATACAAAAAGGATTTGAAGGGATATAGAAATGTGAATGTTTATATCACAAGAAAATGCTCTGGCACGCCCAGTGAGTGTGTTTCTTGCTTCTTCATGGATTTAGGCTTCATAGCCAAAATCCTTCTGGCCCTGGACAGACACTCATGAATGAGACTGACAACCTCGGCGATAAGTGCACATTTGCACTTTCCATTGCGAAAGAGTTAAAAGTTATTATTTAATTCATATCTTTTATACAATTTTGTAGGTAGGCTTTTCATGAAAAATATAGCCTAAGAAAGAATAGAAAAGGAAAGATGCATAACTGCACAAGGTTACCTCTGTAAAAAATGTTTATTATCAAATCATAAAATTATTTTATTTTACCTTTTTTAATCTGATAATATTTTGGTACAAATCAAGTCTTGTTTTATTTCAGTATACAGTTGTGTATAGTTGTAGTCTGTACAAGAAAAAAACTTCTTTGTTAAAGTGGACTATCAAGTTTAGAAAGGAAAGAACTTCCAAGAAAGATTATCTTAGACCAAGCCTCAGTGAGGATGTGATTACTGAAGAAATGTATGGTTAAATTGAAGAATATGAGATGGAAATTAGATATGCTACAGTTTCTCAGTTTGCTATGGAACTCAGCAACAATATTAGATAACAAGTTAAAAAAAAATCCTTCAGGAAACCTGGGAATGCTGAAGATCTGTGCCATATGGAAACCTAGAATGCCAAGACCAGAAATCAATAAACAGTAAGATGAATGTTCTTAAAAACTATTCTCTGATGAATGGAATAACACATTTTATTCATAGTTAGTGACAAAGATACGAGTTCAACACTGTAATTCAGAGATAAAACATACAAATATGATGGGGAAATGGACAATACATGCTCAAAATTTAATAATCGATACTATTAAAATCTGAAATCATCTGTTTGCTTGTTTGTGGCATCATCTCCGCAATAGCAGGGAGTTGAGTTTTGAGAGAGGTACCCCTGGATTCGAAGAATTTGTGAGAAGCCATTTCGACCATTCTCATCTTCATACGATTTTAATCAGACAAGATATTAATTAAAAATTCTGAAAAAGCTTATTTTTGCCCTCATTTTTCCAAGTGGCAACAGACTCGCCGCTGGAGATAAAAATTTGCTTTATTTTGAAAAGTGTTGCCACTGCTCAGAAATTAAAATGGCATTTCCAAACACTAACTGTATTATTATTACATAAGAACATGTTTTGACATTGAAGAAAGCATGTGATTTCATGTGACATCTGCTGTATGTCAAAATTTTTTTTTATTAATGTCAGCATTTTAAATAAACAGCTGCTGCTGGCAGATTTTTTGTTTCAGATTAATAAAACTGACAGGGTATGTTACTGCCCCATTAATTCTTTTATTGATATTGAGAAGTTGTTATATTTCATTAAATTTAAATCACAATGTCATAGATATTTACCTGAAGTATCCAAAGTTTTTGTTTCTTGGTTTGGCAACAACAAAATTATTTACAAATTGGTAGTTGCTTGGAAAGAGAACACTCATTTCCTTCATTATAAAATGATTTTATGCACTTTCCTTTCAGGTGTACACAGAACTCATAAATTTTGCTAGCAACCTTGTATGCAGTACATTAAATTATAGTTCATTTTATTTTCGGTTTTTCAGTACCTAGAACTTATAAATATTGCTTTGGCTGTAGCCCACTCATCTTGTGTGCTTGCCCACTAGTCTATAGGACAAATTTGGGGCATCATTTTTTGGAGATAAGGAATGACCTTTGTTTTTTATTAATTATACATCACATAATATCATTATAACATACATTTATTATGCTATGCTAACCTGTTGATTCAACTCTGATAAGCTATAAAGGTAAAAACACATGGCAAACTCGGCAGAAAAATGTTTTCATACCACAATGTTTTAAATGCAAGGATGTTTTCCCAGACTGCTATTTAGCAATGTGGATTTCAAACTTCCTCCTCAACCCACTGTACTCTTTACAACTGACCTCAAGTGATTTCTTTTCTTTTAAAAAAAAAAGAAAGTGGCACTAGCATAGTTCATGTTACAACAAGAATGATATAGAGGACACCTTCCAAGAATGATTTGAAGGCTGAGACAAAACTTTTTTTTTTCTGTTGGAATATGATATTTAATTGGTGTATTGAAATGGAATTACATAGAAGACAGAGAAAGCAATTTTATCTTGTGTACATACATTTTGGGCCTAAAACTCATTGAATACTATCTAGATGTATATACCATGCACATATCTACAAAGACAGGAAAATTATAACATTAAAAAAAAAAAAAAAGACATACTTTTAAGAACATCCTGTTCTCTTTTCAGCTGATGTATTATAAGTGAGGAAAGTATAACATTCAGATTATTAAAAAGGGGGGGAAGGAAAGGATATAATGAACAAGACTTCTTTTAGCGAAGGATAATATTTCTTTCTGCCAATGAAGACATCATGTGGTTAACTAAAGAGCTAAACTAGTTCTTTCAGGAAACGTGGCAAACTTTCTGACCTAACATTCAACCTCAGTTAACAGTTAGTGAACTGATGTTAATATTCTGAACCAAACTAGTTTCCTCACAGACCTCAGCAAAAGCAAAGATTCTATATAAGCCTCTACATGTCTTATGTGATTACAACGTCTGTCTATATTTCATCCAAATCAATCTGTAAATAATTCATGCTGGTCTTGTTTTATGTGTATCAGGAATTAAATTTATAACATAAATGCATTTATACAGCTGACAGTTTTGTGTGTTTTGTCTTCACTTGGAAGTACGAGTGGATTTGGAAACCATACTTTTCCATTAACCTTTTGACTACTAATAGGACATATATGCCCCCCTAAAAGTTTAAAAAGTACTTAGAATCTCCTGAATGTTGGGGATCATCTTCCAAAAGTTGTAAAATAAAGATATTGTTGACTTGTTGTACACAAATGAACATAGAGAAAAGAACAAATGAGTTGCCCAGTGTATATTGTTGGATTATGCAAAGAATGCTTTACCCTGTACCATACGATGTAAAATCTATTTCATATAATAAAGTTTCCCAGAATAATATGTGTGCTTATAGTAAGTCAATCACTACATGTGAGACATATGTATCCCACTATGAACTATGGCTGGGACATATGTGTTCCAGACTTTGGCTTGAAAACCATTTGTCAAAAAATCCCAAATGCTAACTTTACCTTATTTATGACATATTTTGTTCATTTGGATAGAAAACAGAGATTTTTTTTAATTCATAGACAAATGGTTAAACTACCATTACTAAATTATATTTCACACGTTCCTAACACTTCAGAACAAAAAACTGAATTTTATTTAATAGATTTAGTGTATAATGAATAAGAATTTTTGGTATGACTTACTATCCATATCTCCTGTCATGCGTTTATACTGAATCCTAAAAAGAAATGCTTCCAAAACGAAAGCTACAACAATATTGATGACTACCTGAAAAGAAATAAAAACCAAGAGATATTTACACATAAAAAGAACTGGTAATAATGCTTCTTTTAATTGAAGTTCAAAAATATGCAATTATTTCATTTTACATAATATAACATTTACTCAATTTCTGCTGACACAATTGTGTGTTTAAAGAATCATTAGATAATAAATTAAATTCAAACTATACATGCTAGTTGCAATACAGAAGGATAAATTGCTATTTAAAAAACTTCCATATCTATTAATTAATAACCACTTTGAACAGAAATATTCACGTATTCAAATACATCAAATGAAATAAGGGAATTAACAATAATATTCTTAATTTTGAAATTATATGTCCTATCATCTTACTAATCTTCAATATTAATTCTGGAAAAGTATAAGCTACACAAAAGTATAATACACAGTACAATTTTTATATAGCATTTAAAATTCCTTTGCTAAATAGCATTTTGAAAAAGAAAACAGAAATTTCAGTAAGTGCTTGAAATTTTTAGGAATTCTTTTCTTTTTTACTTCCTAGCGTGAAGCAAAGGAAGTACTGTAATCGTAAAAACATTCGAGTATCATATTTCAATGAAAATATCCATTTTGACCACTATCGAATGCAATTTAACAAGGTTTTTGTGTAACACCTGTACGTAAGGACAGAATAAAGGACTCTTTTTTCCAAAACAGGTTAGAAAAAAGATATAAAATTGATTCAGAAGAGTTTTTTCCTGACATCTGTATTTATGTATGTACCTCGCATAATTCAAAAATGAGTAGCCTCAGAACGTTGAAATTTTATATATAGGACTGCAGCTAAAAAAAAAGGGGTGCAGTTGTGCACCTCCTTTTTTAGCTGCAATCGGCCACACCAAAAGTATTTAAATGTATAGATATACCATTCCATTATTCGGCTCCATGCGCTGCTTTTTTACTTCCTTGTACGAAGTAAAAAGGAAGTATGTAATCGCGAAAAATTTCGGGTGTCATATTTCAACGAAAATATTGGTTTTGACCGCTATTCAATGCATATTAATGATGTTTTTGCATGACATTCACACGTAAGGACAGAATAAAAGACTCTTTTCCCCCAAAAAAATATAAAATTGATTTAAAATGAATTCTGAAGAGAATTTTTTCGCAAACCTTAAAAACGAGTAACTTCAGAACATTGAAATTTTATATGTAGGACTGCTATGATATGTAGATGTGCACCTCATATTTTGCTTGGAATCGGCCGCACCAAAAATACATAAATATATGTATATATATATCCACTCTGTTACTTAGCTCAGTGAGCTCAGTTTCTTTATTCTTATACGTTTGTAAATTGTGCATTTTTTGAATGATTTAATTATGTTGTTCTTATCTTCCGGTTAAGGTTTTTATGCCTTTAGTAAACCTGCATGCAATATTTGTGGAATTTTCAACAATTTTAAAGTTGTTTAAGTGCAGCTAAACCTAATGAATTTTGCAATGGCGAACATGTTTGTTTACATTTCAAACTTGGCAAAATAAGGGATTTGTTGCCAATCTAGAGAAACTAAGCTTCGCAACAACAAACATAACGCCTTTTTTTTATTATTGCGAATTAAATCATGCTTAATCCATTCTGGAATTTATTCGAGAAAATAAGTATTTCAGATTTGCTTCATAATTTGTAATATTATTTGCATAATTTGAGTTTTCATGTATTTTTGCCTTGTCGGAAAGTGAGAACTAAATTAATTGAATGAGATATACTGAATCGTCTGTGAAAAACTGTTTCCAACGCAGTTAAGTGAAGTTAGCGCCAGAGTATCACTATGGTAAACAAGTATAGTGAATTTTAAAGAGTGCATTTATTCTATCGTGTTTATGCGCTATCAACGAAGTAGATTTAATTCAATCCAATAAGTTTAAATGAAATGCAAGAAAAAATGCATATAATTTAATATTCCATACAAGGAATTCATGTGGTGTACACATCAGATTTTTTTATTCATATATGTTGGTAAATGGTGTGTTTTTTGCTTTAAAAATGATTGAATTATGTTGTTCTTATCTTCCGCTTAAGGATTTTATGCCTTTAGTTAATTTGCATGCAATAGTTGTAAAATTATCAACAACTTAAAAGTTGTTAAGTGTGGCTAAGCTATTTTTTTTAACCATAGCAGCCATATTTGCTTACATTTGAAACTTAACAGAATAGTGAATTAAGTCACTTTCTGCAACTTCAGTGTATTTTTGCTGAGAGAGACAAAAAGGAAACTTTTAATTTTGTGCACTGGAAAATCTGCCTTCTTGCCTGCTGGCTGAATTGCTTGTTTTGGCGTAGAAAATCTAATTTTAATCCTAAAAATTGTTTTTTAACATTTTTCACTGTATTTGGTGTTTTATGTTTTTCTATATCGTTCAATTTTTAATGAAGATATTTTGAGGTTTTAAGTAATTTTGCCTTGCTGCGAAGTAAGAACTGAATTAATTGAATAAGAAATCTATCTGTAATAAAATTTCAGGAAATATAATAGTTTAAATGAAATGCAGAAAAAAATTTAATATTACGTACAAGGAAGTCACGTGTAGTCCACGTCAGATTTTTATTCTTATATGTTGGTAAATTATGCATTTTTTGCTTTAAAAATTATTGAATTATACTGTTCTTATCTTTCAGTTAAGGTTTAGGCCTTTGGTTAATCTGCATGCAATAGTTGCAGATTTATCAACATTTAAAATTCGTTTAAGTGCAGCTAAGTCCCGCCCCCCCCCCCCTTTTTTTTTTTTTTTTTTTACCATGGCAAATAGCAGCCATATTTGTTTATATCTGAAACTTAGCAGAACAGTGAATTAAGCCTTTCTGCAACTTCAGTGCCTTTCTGCCGAGTGGGACCAAAAGTAAACTTTCAGTTTTGTGCACCCAAAAAATCTGTCTTCTTATCTGCTTGTTGAATTGCTTTTTTTTTTTTTCCCCCTTCCCATAGAAACTCTAATTTTAATTGTAAAAATTATTTTTTAGTTGTTTTAGCTGTATGTGGTGTTTTATACTTTCCTATATTTTTTCAATTTTTAATAAAGCTATTTTGAGTTTTTATGTATTTTTGCCTTGTTGCAAAGTGAGAACTGAATTAATGAGAAATATATCTCTAATGAAATTCACGGAAATAAGTTTAAATGAAATGGAAAAAAAAAAAAAAAAAAGCATTCCGTACAAAGAAGTCATGTGGTGCACACATTAGATTTTTTCATTTACCTAAAATGATACACGTACAGACTAAATACATATTCATTATGATAAAGTAAAACTGTTATAGTACTCACTGCTTTAATTTAAATTTTCCTGTCTGAACTGTTTTGATCTGATTATAAACCTCTTTTAATCAACGTAAATAAATATAAATTAGAAAATTAAGTCTTGTTGATTTTTAAATCACTATACAAGTTTTAATTTGAAGTTCAACAAATGAAAACACTCAGTACGTCACAGAGTTTCAAAAGAAGCAGGTTATGATTCCAAGCCAATAAACTATGAAATTCTAAAAATTACTTTCAATTTCAACATTCTTCCCTATTCAGTATCTAACTTTAAACTGTCCAATACTGTTAGCAGTTTTCTTGAAATCATTTCACTATTTTATCTTTCAACAAATAATTTTTTAATATCTGGGATCCAGTGTGACATCTTGCATACCTTTGCATTTAGGCAGTTAGTGGCTGAGCTTGAAACTAGGACTTGGAACTTTCGCTAATGAGATTCATCATTTCAACTTTATGCTAAAAGTGCAGTTTTCAATTAATGTGATTCAGAGGTTATATTTTTATTTTACCATTCATAATTATATTAATTTCACTTGAAAAAGACTTGGAAAGTTTGCAGACTCTTTTAGGAGTTTTTAAGTTCATATTGAGAAAATTTCATTACTTAATCAGAACAAGTTATCCACTGATAACATGAAGATGCTGCACCAATTACTGGCAGCTTGAGCATTATTGTGGGAGTTAAAAAAAGAATATCATATCTACTTTCAAAATTTCACATGAAACTAGTCACAATAATTTTGAAGTTTTTGAAAAGGTGAAAACAGACAAGAAGTAATTTTAACTATAACTCTCCTAACACTGAATTTTCTCTCAGACATTACAGAACTCTACAGATGACAATATTCTGGTTACTGAAAAGTTTAATTGCTTTAGGAAAAGTTACAAAAATTCAAAGGGTTCATGGAGAATCTTGGAAGATTCTTAGACTTTCAAGTGTTAAACTTCAAAGGGCACATTTTTTTTTTTTTTTTTTTTTTTTTCCCCCATTAAAGGTGAAGAGATTAATACTGACATGACCATGTTACACATAAATATGCCTAATTAGCTCTTTTAGAGATTCTTGGAATCCTGCTCTACTCCTTTGTACCCATGGAATGTTACTTTAAAAGAGATATCCTGATGTAAACTAAATAATGTTTCTCCTAGATACAATCTAAAAACAGCCAGGTGGGACAGATTTTTTTTCATATTGCCAAGAAAATTAATTAATCCAGTGTTGACTGCATAAAAATTACAATGATAATTATTATCAAACAACATCTATTTGTGATTATCCCTAGAAGAGCAAAAATTTTTTGGCCATCTTTGATGCAGGAACTGAAGAAGTTACCAATTACACAGCCTTGTTTTAAATTAAAGTTGAATCCTGCAGTTATCATACACCAACAAAAAATGCCTCTAAGGCTTTGCAATTTAAAAAAAAAAAAAAAAAAAAAAAAAAAATATTTAAGCATTAACTTTTTAAGCATTCTACCCACCACAATTAGCCTTGTGAAATATACCTTCTCATTCCATAAGCTCCTTCCTGCATTAAACAAAGAATTTTTAAGTAAATGTGGAACCTCTTATTCTCAATGGCAAAGTATGCACATACATAATCTCGGAAAAGATATTGTTCTGACTAAACATTATACCATTTCTCCTATTCTATATATTTAATGGTTACCATAAATCAGTTAATCTTCTTCTAGTGCTTGATTTAAATTTTCAAGAAGAAATGAATTTCAGTTTCAATTTTACCTCTACATAAATAGCACTTTCAGAGAAGAGGGGATATGTTAAGAGGTTATCACATCTAACGATGGTTCCTGCTAGACGGGACTGGTAGTACATAATCTCGGATCTGGACGGGACTGGTAGTACTGCTTTAAACAAGAGGATTCCTAGAAAAAAAGAGCCATGCTGGAAGCAAAGTCCCGCCTGCCTACGGAAACGACATACCGGCTATGCGGGAGTTTTTAAACCTCGCTGAAAATGTTTCGGCTGCTACTCTGCGTCACGTAGAGATCGACCAATCAGATGAAAGTTCTGCTTCTGGAGGATCCCATGATCCCAATCTGAGTGATAATCGATTACTGTTTGGCATTTAAGTTTTTGTAGTAAGTGAAAATGGTAACCTGACTATGTGGGTTTTCTGGAAATATGTGGGTTCTGAGAATAGTTCCTTTCGATGTCCAGTCCCTTGTAGTGGAAACGTATGATTGGGACTTTATGCAGTCAATCTGCTTTCCATACTCTTATTTATGAATAGTTCAACTAACATTGGACCAAACAAATATTCTTTCCCAGCTTTTTAATGCAATTTGATGCAAAGGTATTTCTTCCAATGATAGAAAAGACTATAATCATTCTATTCCTTAAACCTTAAAAAACCCATAACCCATCAAAAACTCTGCTAGCTACCAAATGATTTTCCTCACCAAATCAAAAATTGTTAACCATTAGTATTAAATTTTTAACAAAGCACAGAAAAAGAAATTTGATCTTACCATGGTTACAACATAAAAGGACATGAAGAAAATCCTGGTCCATTGTGATACAACAAAAGCATAGCCATTCATTATAATAAACCAATTATTGACGACCATAAGCTCAAACAAAGTAACTGAAAAATTAATAACAGAATTTTTTAAAATTCATTTATTAAATGAACGCATCTTAAAATACAAATAAAATTACTTAAATTGTAAAATAACTTGCACTCTTATTGAAATATTTTTTTTTTTTTTAAATTGCAGAATTTTTGTGATATTTTTCAGTTGTTATGAAAAATTCTGAAGCATCATTTAATTCCAAAGCCTTCTTTCCAGATTCAAATCCAGGTCCAGAAACAGAAGAGCGAGCATTGTAAACCACTATACTAATAAAGATAGCTTTATTTGATAATCCTAATTCCAATCCAGTTCTTTCCACCACTTTCAGAATTGTACCTTACTTTTGCATATTTGAATCCATTTTCCTTGGCAAAGGATGCTTGCTACTACTTTTTTTTTTTTTTTTTTTTCGAAATGCTTTCATTATAAAACAGTTGTCACTACTATTTTTTCTCCAGAAAATTACGGATCTGTGTCTGATCTCAATCAAAATTAACAGTGTTTTATTTAAAATCTATGTGAAACTAAGGTTGCTCTTTTTGTCTGATTTTAAATACTAAAATGTTTATCTCACCAAAACCCTTTTACTTCTGTTTTTTAACTTCTGTTTTTCAACATTTCATTTTTAAAAACAATTTTTAAGAGCTGCATGTTATAAAAAATTCACCACAGAACAACATGTACAGTGTCTAAAATTGTATTCTTTTACTTACTACATTATTTTTAATTTACCAGCATTCGTAGGATTTCATTTCTGGATGAACAGCAGCAATCCATTATTTCACACCATTAATTAATTTTGTAAAAGATCCCACCAGATAAAAGAGAATTCATTAAATAAAATAAGTATAGCTTTAATTATATCAGTTCCTCCAATTATTTGTAAATACTTTATTTTAAACTCGTATTCCAATTAAACTACTTATTTAACACTAAAAAGAAGCAAAATAAGGCAATAAAAATCATAAAAGTTTTTATACTTCACTTCTTGGAATAAGAAAAGTGCCTGTAGTAGTTGATAGTATTCACCATGGCTGTATTTAGGGTGGAGCAGAATGGACTGCACCCCCCCCCTGAAACTGAAGTTTTAAAACAGAATACAGTTGCAAAAACACTGGTTTTTGATTAAAGTCACAGCCTGCCAAATTTAAATCCTAGCTACAGCTACAGTAGTATCTACATTCATTTTCTTACTACTTTTTTGTTAACAGTCATGATTCTGCACCAAAGAAACAAATTTGTTAACATGATTCACCACCATCCTCTGCTACATTTTTACATCCATTTTCCTCCTCTATATATTTTTAAATTCTTATTTAATTATCCATTTCGGCAGGTTTTTAATTTTCTATTGCAGATTGATAATGGATATTCATATATGCAATCTGATGAAATTTTTAAACAATTTAAACAGCTAGAGGTAACTAAAAAACCTCTGGCCTCTGTTCAATGTGGAGGAAAGGCTTAAAGTTTTTCTTTTATTGATTAAATATTAACCAAACTGTCATTCCAATTGCAGTTTTTTACATTTTTTAGAAATGTAAAACATTTACATTTTTTAGAGTTCCATTTTATTCATTTCTTCACTTCAATTTTCAGCATATTATATAATACTTGAAGAAAGCTTTTTTCCCCTCTCTCCCTTCCGTATAATCAGTAATCTGTGTCAAAATAGTCATACTTTAGTTTTTTCACTCCAAAAAAATATCTTAATCCTAATTTATTTTCACCACTTTTGTTCCTTGTCTCATTAATAATAAATTTTCACTCTTTAAAACAAGTACAGTGACTTTCCTTCTTTCTCTCATCAATCTTTAGCTGGTGGATAAGAAGACTTCGTTGAAGTTTAATTTGTGCCCTTGAAAACTTGTAGGAAAGGTATGTAATGATGTAAGAGTGAAAAAATGCATTCATCGCTATGTTAATGGAATGGTAGTTGGCTTTAGCTGATTGGTAGTTTTTCACTTACCAATCAGCTAAAGCCAACTACCATTCCATTAACATAGCGATGAACGCTCTTTCCCTTTTGTTTTTCTAATGACTTGACTAAATGCTGTTTGGTATTGCATGGATTCTCTTAAATGTGATTCACCATCTGTTAAACAAAAACATATTGCAACTAGTAAATTGTGTTACCGTACAAAATATGCTTAAACATGACCATATTAAGCAAGAGATGACTGCATATGTTTAAATACACAAAAATTATACTAATGTGTTAAGACTTAACACAAGATTTTTTTAATAGCATGAAAAGAAAAACATTATTAACACGCATTTATATTTCCCACTAACATGACTAAAAATATAATATCCTAAATAAACTCTAATGTTTGTTAAGAATTAAATTTCTAATAAAATTAAAGCATTGGGAATTATTCTATTCAGCTGTCAATAGCTGTGTGTGTATATATATATATATACGATTTGTGTCTTTAAAAATATAAATTTTTTGCATGCACATTAAATAACTTGATAAAGTACATATTTACTCTAGATAATATTCAGAAATCAATCAAAGAGCATTTTTATTTGTTAATACTTACTTTGACTTGTAACAAAATCATCAAAATTGTTTAGATAATAATAACCATCCAGAGAAGTATCATTTTCAAAATGATAAAACTGCTCAACAGTAGTATTTCTAAAAAAATAAAATTAGATAATTACTTTTAAAAATAACCAAAAAACTATTATTGCCATTATATTTCAAAACAACTATCTTCTGAACAGAGTATCGTAGGGTAGAATTTCCCCTATATTTTCAACTGTTCAGATTCTGCTTATTTATATCAAGTTATTATTAGATAAAAGTATTAGTATATTGTTTTTCATATTGTTACAATATTATTCTCTAACCATCCTGAATTATTTCACTAAATCAAGAGTTTTTTTGTCACTTGATGTATATTATATAAAAACATTTCCTTTGATATTTCTTTCAAAGAACTTAAAGTCTTAAAATAAACAGATAAAAAAAAGGGGTAATCAAGATGTAGTTTTAATATCTTTAACAAAAATCAACTACTAATTTACATTTATAATTGCATCTTATACAGATTTAACATGCTTAACTTACATACTTTTACAGAATAAAAATATTATATTATCAATAAATACATTATTCTACAAAATAACTTTCACATTTCAAATAAGTATTAAATATACCAACACTTACTTGCAACAATTGACAAGATTGTAACCAGACAGTAACTCTATTCCTATTATTCCAAAAAAATAATATAGTATTACTAAAACAAGAGCAACACTGAGAAACCTTGGAAGGATTATAAATAGAGTTCCTAGGACATCACGATATCTCTTCTTGAGTTTGAATAATCTGTAAAACATATCAAAAGCTATCAATCAAATTCCAGTTTAAAATAAATATTTATAACACTTTTTAGTCAAAATTTTAAACTAAATTCTAGAATTAAATAGAAATTCACTGTTTAAAACTGCATAACTCTGTACTCATTATGACATATATGGCATTAAGAACATGTTTTATTAATCCTCTGAGCGGCACGGACTCATGGATCTGTCATGAAGACCTGTATTCAAAGACAATCTATTAGCTAAATTGGTATATTCACTTACTTTAGGCTCTATTTTCATAAACTCACATTTATTAATTTTGGAACATCTATTTCTATTTCTGAATCTAAATCCTCTGAGAATATATGTTCTCTAATATGTTTGTAATCACTGGATGAGATGTGGTGTTTTTCCTTGTTTCCCTTTTCATTTTCAGTTTTTTCCATACCTGCATGTTTGTTCTTCAAGTTATTGCTTCTTTACTGATACCAGGTTCACTGTTCATAACCCCTTGTATGTTTGCAGTTGGTTGTGTTTTCTGAATGCAGATAACTGTTTCAGTGGTGACTGATTTCACAGATTTGATAGCAGCAGCAAAAGATACATTTGATGCAGCTGAGTCTCAGAGATAGTCTCCTAGCTTCATCAGATGAGATATTTTTAATCACTTTCATAGCCTGTACTTTCTTTTCAGTTTCCTACTAAGGACAAGAATGACAGAAAGCTGTGTGCTCTACTTCGCAGTTTATACACATCGGTGCAGGGGTGAAAGTATCATTCTCAAGACCCTCAACAGAGCAGTGCACACACATATAAGTTTTCCACTGCATGACATCTTTGAGTGGCCAAAACACTGGCAGTAGAAATAGCATATGCAGTTGAAGATGTATGGTCTTACAAGGCAGTGAAGATACCCCACCTATGCACTTTTGGCCAAATCAAACTGAAAATCAAACTGAAGGTCAGGATCCTGTGTTTTGTACTGATCAACTGATCTTCTTTACTCATCTTGATCTGCCTAACAGCACAGGCTTTCTGATCCGAAAGCTCAGAGACAAATTCATCCTATGAAATGGAAAGGAGATTGAAATTTGAGATCACTCCCTGAAAAAAGTTTTAAGTTTTGTCAAAAAGATATGCCTGTCTGCTTATTCAGAGAAGAGTTGCAGAGTTAATCAGTTTTAATTAGCAAGTCATATAAGCAGAACCATTTAATGTTCTCTGACTCACCCACATATGACTGAGTATGCTTCAGCATGAAAAAAAAATTAACAGTTTTTGAAACTTACCAATTGTATTGTTGATGACAAGAAAATGGCAAAAAGACTTAGTTTCATCAATATTGGACTTTTCACATATTTTTATCTTTTTTGTTGAATTTATAGAAAATATACAAAGTTAATTTAAACAGTCCATATTTGAAAAGAAGATAGATTTGAACTATCCTACTTCACCTACCACAAGAATCCAACAAGGGAATGCAGATTCCTCTGCCACAGCTAGCCTGGTCTACATGCTATCTGAAGACCCACAGTTAGCTTTCTGAAAAGCAAGAACTCAAAAAGGTTTCAGCCACTAAGGACTAGAGGCCAGCTGATTGACATTAGTAAAGACATCTAAGTGCTTCTCATTTCAATTTGAAGCAGAAAGCACAGCAGCATGCTGGGGACAGTATCCTACCCATTAATAACAAGAATCCTTTTTTTCCAGCCTTATTGGTTTCCATGCAAAATAAATGCATAAGTGACATTCTCTCAATGAGAAGCTAAAAACAAATCGCTGTAATGGCATTTCACATTGAGCCTCACATTCTGAAAAGGAAAATTACAAGAGAGGAAAAGTAACAGATAAGAGGATATATTAGTCATGCTTTGAGATCATGACACCCAATTCACCAAGATGGTAATTCCCTGAAGAGCTAAAGTAACACAGGACTGTCATACTCATACTCACAAAGAGTTATAAAATAAAAGAGTTTAAAAAAATAAATGCATAAGTGACATTCTCTCAATGAGAAGCTAAAAACAAATCGCTGTAATGGCATTTCACATTGAGCCTCACATTCTGAAAAGGAAAATTACAAGAGAGGGAAAAGTAACAGATAAGAGGATATATCAGTCATGCTTTGAGATCATGACACCCAATTCACCAAGATGGTAATTCCCTGAAGAGCTAAAGTAACACAGGACTGTCATACTCATACTCACAAAGAGTTATAAAATAAAAGAGTTAAAAAAATAAATGCATAAGTGACATTCTCTCAATGAGAAGCTAAAAACAAATCGCTGTAATGGCATTTCACATTGAGCCTCACATTCTGAAAAGGAAAATTACAAGAGAGGGAAAAGTAGTAACAGATAAGAGGATATATTAGTCATGCTTTGAGATCATGACACCCAATTCACCAAGATGGTTAATTCCCTGAAGAGCTAAAGTAACACAGGACTGTCATACTCATACTCACAAAGAGTTATAAAATAAAAGAGTTAAAAAAATAAATGCATAAGTGACATTCTCTCAATGAGAAGCTAAAAACAAATCGCTGTAATGGCATTTCACATTGAGCCTCACATTCTGAAAAGGAAAATTACAAGAGAGGAAAAGTAACAGATAAGAGGATATATTAGTCATGCTTTGAGATCATGACACCCAATTCACCAAGATGGTAATTCCCTGAAGAGCTAAAGTAACACAGGACTGTCATACTCATACTCACAAAGAGTTATAAAATAAAAGAGTTAAAAAAATAAATGCATAAGTGACATTCTCTCAATGAGAAGCTAAAAACAAATCGCTGTAATGGCATTTCACATTGAGCCTCACATTCTGAAAAGGAAAATTACAAGAGAGGAAAAGTAACAGATAAGAGGATATATCAGTCATGCTTTGAGATCATGACACCCAATTCACCAAGATGGTAATTCCCTGAAGAGCTAAAGTAACACAGGACTGTCATACTCATACTCACAAAGAGTGATGCCCTAAGAGTTTCAGACAAAAGTAATTTTATTTGCCTGTCTAAATGTAACGCATAATAACTTATTATATAAAGCAGTACTTTGCATTACATTATGAACAGGGATGGATTTAGACTTGATGAAGGCCTAAGCTATTTGAGATATGGAGCCCTTTATAAGGGATATGAGGCTTTTTTTTGGGGGGGGGAGTTAGGAACCTACAAAATTGGGAGGCCCTTAGCTATAACTTGTGTCACTTATACGTAAACAAGGCATTTATTATGAAGAATTTAAATACCAAACAATAAAATAAATTTAAAAAAAATATTTTTATTATATTTTATTATTGGTAATAAAATAAATAAAATACATAAAATAATCTGTCATCAGAAACTTACACTTTGTGATTCCTTCACCTTACAAAGGGCATCAACTTAATCTGTAAAATTTCCGTTTTTCTTTAGTTTTCTTAAGATGTAAATTCTTCATAAAATATTCTTGATTTAGAACTGTAAATCATACCTATTTATCTCAAACTTAACTTTCTCACATTAGTTTTAAAAATTCAAACACTTAATAGTCATTAAGTCGTTAATCCGTACACCCATAATCCGGAATCTATAATCCGGACCTCAAAGCTACAAACTTTCTGCGCATGCGTCAACGCATAATGCGTTCACGCATGCGCATAATACATTTATTTACGCATGCTCTTTTAATGTGTAACGGACTGTATAAGCTAAGCTAAAATTATCTAATTATCTATTTCAGTTAATGTTGCAGATTGTGTTGTTCCTTAATCTTCGAATTGGATCCGGCTTATTATTTTTTGCAGACTGTTAGAGAAATTTTATAAAAGTAAGCTTGAACTTTCGATTATGTCAAATAGAATTTCTGAGAAAGTATGTTTTGATGTCCATCAAACAAAAAGTGGAATTGCTGCAAAAAATGGATTAAGGCATATCCTTTGTTTCTCTAACCATTCCGAAATCTGTTTACCATTTTCCCGCTGCACTGTGAAGGGGGGGGGACGTCACGATGTGCAATTAGCTGGAAGTTGATCTGTCAGCACTATTCTTATCTTCAGGGCAGATGTTTTTATTTTATTTGGCTTATAATTCCTTACTAGATGTAGTATTTCATCTCGATGTACTCCGTCTTTGATATGATTTAAATCAAATTCCTCGTCATTATAATTTGCTTCCGATAGTGAAAAAAGTGACACAGAGGTTATTGAAAACGAAAAATTTTGATTGACAAATTAGTCGTTATTCTCGACACTTTAATTTTATTATTTCTGCATGCTATCTTATCAGATTTAAACTGATGATCTATAATCCGAAAAAATCGATAATCTGGAATCGTCGAAGTCCCGACGAGTCCGGATTAAAGACTTTTGACTGTACTTCCTATTACAAGTTTTAAGATACTCAAAATTTATATACTTTCTCCTATCAGATTGTAGCAGAGTGAAAACCTGTATACATTACACACATTTTTTGGTTAATTGCCATTATCAGTGTGTGTGAAAGCTATCTGCAACAGATTCCTCTATCTGCCAATCTCATACGGAAGAGCTTCCATACAAGATTGGCTTATATTCATGTTGTACATGAGGAAAATCATGAAAGTTCAATACATCTGACCTATTTTCCATGATCTGAAATGAGGTGCCAGTGTGGTTCAGCTAACATGTGCATATAAGTGGTCTTAATCAACGATTTAAATTATCCTCAAAAGCAAGGATAAGATTAAGGAGACTGATGATTCAGAGAACAACAGATTTATTTCAACAATAACGCAGTCTCGTTTTCAGCAAATTTAGAAGCATAGTCAAAAACAAAAGGTCTTCACACAACTTTCCTGTAAAAAAGGTTTTATTATATAATAAATAATAAGTTGCATTATTAATAAATTTGTTTCAGTATCATTTTTCATAACAGAATACATTATCCTGTTTTACATTGATTCATATGGAAAAAATTGTTTCGCTTAAGAGTGTTTCGCCTTACAAGTAAGATTTGGGAACCAATTATTCTCATTAAGCAAACTTCCACTATATAGTCATATGAACAGAGTAGTTCTTACAAAATAATGGCATAATTTATGACTGGTTATACTCAGACATCTCCATGTTTTGGAGAAGACAATAGGTGTAACTGAATGCATCTTTACCTACAACTTCTTTCACATCCTTAACAATGTCACAATCATACTAGCTTGGCTCATTTACATATGAAACTCTGGCAAAATATTTGGTATCAAAGACAAAAGTCTAACCAACAATCTAAAATACTATTTGAGCTGAGAATAATAACATATTAACATACATTGTTTTGATGATAAGCATACAACTTTTATTCTGCTTATACAGTAACAAAAAATTACCTTAAAGAAAAAGTAAATATTTTTAGCAAAGAATTAGTGACAACAATTGAATTTAAATTTTTAGAATGTATTGCCTACCTTAAAAGCCTCAAAGCTCTCAGAATAGTAACAAACGAGAATGAAAAGTGAAACTGTTCAGTAATAAGGCCTCCAATGGCTAGAAGTGTAACAGCAAAATCATACCTAAAAAAGTGCAAATATTCCAGATTAAACTTTTCAATAAATATAAGTAAAAAATGCTATATTTTTATATTAATATTGCACCATATTTCACATTTGAAATGAAAATTAAAGTCTTACCATACACACTTTTATACTTCACATACCTGTTCCATCTGGAACTAAAGTATTCATTAAAGCCCAAACCAATAATTTTAAGTGAAGCTTCCACTGTATAGACTGGAAAAAAAAGAGAGAGAGACCATTACATTGTACAAATATGAATTTTAAGAAAATTTTAAAAAATCCACGGGAAACAAAATGCTTTCAAAAAATATTTACTTTAAATATAACACTAAATATTATTAATAAATATTTAGCATAAATATAACACTAAATATTATTAATAAATTATTAAAAAGTTTTTTAATTAAATTTCATGAAACTAATCATGCAAACTATGTATAATCAACAATTGAAACATTATAAAAATTTAAAATATAACAAATAATGGTAATCATTGCATTTCACTTTAGCTAAACACTTTTAATCTAATCAGTTTTTCACTCATAACAGTATAAAAATATTAAACAGAATGAGAAAAGTAAGTCACTTATTTGTTGACATGAAATTTTCCCCAAGAAAATCTGGGAATCGCATGAAAGTTACATCACTAATTATTACAAGGACTATAAGTCACTTGAACAGCATGTCATACTGAAAGATGATTAATTTGTACTGGAAAAGTTATTGTTTGGTTACAAAGTTACTAATAAAAGTTCTAGTTCAGGCTTTTTGATGCAAGATAACTTGTAGATAGAGGATTTAATTTAGTTCATGAACAATCTTATTGCTGCAATTATTTCACTAGTTCTGTCTTTTCTTAGTATTCTTTATATCAAACATCTACCTTCCAAATCTTTACAGTTCTTCCTTTCTTGAATTGATAAATGAACATTTTCCAACCTATTAATGGCGTGATAAATCTTGGACATTTTGCTCTTTAACTATTTGAACAAACAGTACACAGTGAAACAGCATACACTAAACAATTTGTTTAAATGGTAATGCCCTGTTTTATAATTATACTTATAGCAATTCCAGCAGTTTAAATATTCTAAGGATGAGATAACTTTCAATAAAGCACTAATCAAGATGTAAATTTCAGGCCCAGTATTTTCGGGAAACTCTAAAAAGGCATGCAATGTATCAACAACTTTTTCTACCTCTCTCACAGAAAGGTTTTTATAAGGTAATAGCTTTCATTGGAATGTTTTTCATGCAATTCTGTATACCTCTGCAGCAATTTCAGCATCTGTAAAAATCCCATATATTGCAACTGAAAGATCTATCTAGAATAAACTTGGGATAAAATTTTAAATTTAATTTTTTTTAAAAAAATTTTCACTGTTCTGATGCTGTATGCACTTCTTGAGCTTTAAGAAGTTCAGTGATTTGATTTTCTTCATTATTATTCCTATGTGAATCTTGTTTTGAAAAGCTTACTGTGAAAGCCCACTTCAAAGAATATCTTTTTTACTGTTTTGCCTTATGATATTTTTTTAATAGAAGTCAGTTATATGCATAGCATCCAGAATATTTTATCAATAGCATTTAAAAATTTCCTAACTAGCTGCTCTCTAAACCCAATCTTAAAAAACAAGATAACTGAGTTATCAAGAGGTTGTAACTATGGTGTTGTTAGCTGGCAAAAATTTAACAGGGATATTCTTTACACTCCGAAGTCTAGTGTGAGCTTAATAATAACGAGGGAAGATTAAAATTTTTTCTTTCCATGAGAGACATGACTTAAAAAATTATATCAGTCAATTAACAAAATTTATTTCATTACTGAGCCTTTATTTTATAGTTTTTTCCTTTACATCTAATACAAAACATTTATAGCAAAATACCTGTTTGTGAGTTTTGAAGCTCACTTTATCAGTAGAAATATAACTTCTTCAATACTGCTTCAGTTTACTGCTAGCAGTACAGTCACATGTTGTTTGCTGCCATGATTATCCTGTTCCTTGAACACAACTGTTTTACATGTAAACATTGATAAAATAACTCAATTTGATAGGCATTAAACACATAATTGGTGTGTATTAGTGTAACAAAGAAGGAAACTATCATATTTGTCCCATTTTAATTAGCTGATGTATTTTTACCTAAAAGCTTTTGAGAGATAATATTCTGCCTGCTTTTTGAACAATTTGTAGCTATTTTTGCCATTGGCATTGTGACTAAATTCCTTACCAAAATCTGTGACTTTCTATGGTAACACTGATCCACTAGCTGCAACTCTTTGATTATGGCATGATGCAAAACACAACATATCTGCATATAGTCTTCCATTTGCTGTTATTTCAATTTTAGATTTGCTTTTACTCTGTGTATATTGTTATCATACGATTTTTAAATAAATTCTCCATTTTGAAGCCATTTCTCTTTCCTTTTTCAGCATAGGGCATTTCATTTAGTTATTTATTTTGTCTAAGAATTTTAAAATTTCAACTCTTTTCATTTCATGGCATTTCATTTAGTTTTTCTTTTCATTCTAGCTATTCTCTTCAGAACTTAAACAACTAATAAGATTTAATAGAAAATTCTCTGCATGGTTATGGCTTTGAATGTCTTTCCATTTTCAGTGCACAGAAAAAAAAAAAAAAAAAAAAAAAAAAACATTTACATCCATGGGTGTAAAGCTTAGGAATTACAGATGGAAAACTCCTACTGGAGACTGCTTTAAGGAGAGTGTTTTAAGGGGGGAATGGATGAATTCAGCTGCTTAAAGCAAGGTTCCCATTTCTCCTGCGGGAATTTCATAGTTTCAGGTGGGAATGTGGTCAACCATTTATTTAACTGTTAAGTATTTAGTTTCAGTTTAAGGATATAAAACATATTATATATTAAAACATAACATATTATAAATTATTAAACAACTTTTGTTCAAGTTTTGGTTGCTTGGTTTATTTGATTATGCAAAGTTCTTGAGGACTATCTGCCCAAGGGAAGGGATGCCTTCGTGAAGGGCTTTCACAGGGAAGCTGCCTCATATACACATTACATATAGGGAAACCATAAACATGGCCATACCACCTGTCATTTGCCAAGATTCCTACCCTGGATCAAATTACCAGTATTCAGCAACTTTACCACTCAGCCAGTGTGGGCCCTGTTCAAGTTTTAGTATTCATCAACATTTTCTATACTTTTTGCTGTTTAACTTATAAAACACACTAAAAATAATTTAAATTTATATAAATGTCTATGTAGTTTTTGAGTTTAGAAAAAGGACAGAGATCGAAGAATGATCTTCTAGCAATGGTGAAAGGGGTGCATCAGGAAAAACATGTTAAAAGCCTTTAGCCTAAAGGAAAATACTTTGAAATGCACATGGAAAAATACATTGATTTAATGCTAAAAATACTGGGAATAAATTTTTAAAAAATTGGATGATCTGAGATAGAGGTTTGATTACATACAACTGAAAAAAAACATCAGCATGTATAGCTGCTTCAACTTTATTAGTGTAAAAAATTGTACATGTGACAAATTTTCTTGAAGAAAATGTCTCGTCACCATACACTTTTAACCTTTGTAAAAAAAACATTCCACAAATTAAAGAAACACTGACATTTAAAATATATGTAAATGGTTTTGGAAAGTTACATACATGTAACAAAAGCAACAGAAACCCATCCATAAATATCAGCAGCAGTAGTACCATCATACTCTAGAGAAAGAAAGGTTAAAAAGTAGCAATGTATTAGAGTACGAAACACTAACAACAAGCCAAAGGGAAATGCATTCAAAATACAAGACAAAGTCACAAAAATCAAATATATATATAGATAATACATAGATATCTACATAAAAGAGAATTCTTTAAAAAAAATAATGCAATATAGTATTTTATATTAATTACATGATCTTTACCAATATGCTTATAAAAAATTAAATGTAAATTTATAATGAAAAATGACATTTGGTAAAAAGTAATAAAATTAAAAATTTTATAATTGCAGGATTATTTTTTTAAATTTATACATATACAGTACGAAATTATTAAATAAAATTCCTATCTTACATGGTTTAATTATTTTAATTACAAATTTATAAAACCAACATAAAATAACTAAAATTTTAAGCTTTTTATTTACATTACTCTACATACATATACACATGGTTGAGAAAATGTCTACATATTATGAGGTACAAATCTGGCTTTATCTATTTCATGCAGGACTTCCCAAATGGTGGGCCATAAAAGGAATGGAAACATTCTGGAAAAATGTTAACTTCAGAATCCTGATTGCAACAGTCCTGAAGAGTTAGACTGAAAGTGATCAATAGATACTTTGACAAAAACATAATTTCATGGAAAAATTATGCAAATTTAATGTACAGTTGATGTAGCTACAATGGTAAAAGAGCAAGAGGCCTGGCACCCAACATTCAGTCTGAAAACCCTGATGCTCAAATAATGCACTGCTTTACTCATAGAAAAGCTCACACCTCAAATAGTGTAACTTTAGAATTAAAACTCACATATAGTTACAGGATAAAAATAGTGAATATAATTAAAGTTGCATCTTTTTCAATTTTTTGCAAATGAAATGAGATAACATTATCAATCTTTGTACTTCAAATACTCAAGCTGATTGGTAAGGCAAGTTCTGTCTAAAGTTCATGAGTTGAAAGAAGAATTTAAAAGTTTTTTCCGATAGTAACACTAAATATTCAATTAAGTGGAAAGACAATTTGTAAAAAATGTCTAAATCAGTTGGACATATTTAAATACTTAAATAAACATAATCGAAAAATACAATGACCACTTGAGAATATATTAATATACACTGACAAAATTAATGAATTTAAATACAAAATTCAATTTTGATGAAATACGGTGAGAAAAGGTTCCTCTTAAATGTTTCGTTGGTGTTGTACTTTTGAATCCTTTAAAAAGAAAATCTACTAAAATTGTAGATCAGCTATACATGACTGAAAAAAGGCTAAATTACTATTTTTTTTTAAATGAAGGAAGGAAAAACATTCAACTAGTCTTGAACTCCATTTGCACCTTCATTAATTACACGACATTACTTTTATGTGAAAGAAAAGAAGTTATTAGCTTTAAAAAATTATTGTACCCTTGAAGTTGAATTTAAGGATGTTCCATTTTCTCAATTCTGGGTAGCTGCAAAAACAGAGTTTCCATCCACTGGTGAATATATTACACACATCCTTTTACTATTTGCTACAATATACATGTGTGAACGAAGTTTATCTTCTATGCTCGCTATCAATAATTTAAACAGATACATGATAAATTTCATGTAGCTGAACCACAGATCCACATATAATGGTTGCATTTACAGAATCAAGGATTGGAATAATATATTATATGTATTATTTGTAACAAAAGGAAATTTGCAATAATACTCAAAATGTTTATTTTGTTATTAAATTATTATGCAGTACATTTATATGTACATGCGAATAGTAATAATAACTTTTTTGTATAACTAATTTTATTTCATATTACCACATCAAAATTTTATAAAATATCTGTTCTAAAAATTTAATCACAATTTTAATTTGTTTTTGTCTGATTATGGCAAAGGACACTAGGGCTACATGCCTAAGGAAAGGGATGTCTTTGTGGAGGACTTTCTAAGGAAAATTGTCTTGTGTCCATGCAAAGCATGTGGGGAAAACCACTAAAACACCCATGCAGCCAGCCCATTCTCATGGGATCAAACTAACAGTGTTTAGCAATTTTACCACTGGGTCGCTAATGGGTTAATCATGGTTTTTTTCAGTTAGTCAAATCTAATAATTTAGTTCATAGTTGTCATATGAAAACTCTGCCAAATATTAGTCATCAAGGATGTACGCAATAAGTACACTCAACTTACTCTATTTATTTTGCTTGTTTCACGCTTATGACTGCATATGAAGACTTATCTGAAATGCATGTCTAACTAGAACATTAATGCATTGTGCAAAAATAATTTTAAGAAAGATTAATAGATAAATGTTCCTTCATAGTGTATCGTGCTATTATTTATGCTTGTGAGGTGTGCCACAATGTGAAAAATTGGGAATCAATGAATTAATGATTATGAAGCTAATACAAAATTACCATTATCTGAAGCTTAAATAAGTCACTTTTTACATAAAAAGTTAATTTGTAAGAATTTCAAACAGGTCATCTTCCTGTTTCAAATTGTTTACAAAATTCCGGCTGGGAAACAAGCTCATTTCATACGAAAGCAAAATTACCAAAAATAGCTGATGCTTCCAAAACTTGCCATATACCATTTGCAGCAATAACCATATCTAAAATAAAAGAACCATAAAAAATTATAAAAGATTTTTCCTTTTTCAGTAACATACTTCCATTTAGAAAAAAAATTTAAACACATAAAAAAAATTTATGAAATGCAAAAACTTACTGATAACATAATCAGTAGCTTGTAGCATTACAAGTTTGTGAATACCTAAAACAGAAGAGGAAAAAAATTAACAAATTTTATTACAAAATTATAAATACAGGTAACACAAAATACACAAAAATAAATAATAAAATAATTTTAAAAACTTAAAAATTCACCTGTAAAAACTTTTAAGGGAATACCATTTAAATGGGTAAACCATAATACATCTTGTCTCTTTGGCTATGATAAAAATAATACAAATGTAAAAGAAATTTTTTAAAATGTAAATAATAATAATAAAATTACCAATAACAAAAATAATAAAATTTACTTAGTTTCTAAAAAAAAAAAAAAAAAAAAAAAAAAAGGGCATAAATAAATGAAACAAAAAAAAAAAAAAAAAAAAAAAAAAAATAAATTAATATTACACACAGTTATCAAATTAAATGCCTAAAAAAGAAATTTGAAAAGTCAAACTCGCGTATTACTTTTGCATATGCAGTACTATAAGAAAATAATGCTTAAGATTCCTTCACCAACAAACAGTAAAATGTGACATAACATTGTTTAGTTACAAACAACAGTAATAAGAAATTGAGAATATAAAATAACCTAACAATTAAAAACGACAAACTCAATATAAAATTCTCATAAAATATACATATGAATATTTAAGAAAGTCAATTCAAAATCAAACTGATTAGTTTTGGATAAACACACTAGTAGGCTGCAGGCAATCTGCAATTTTCAAGCCAATAAATACTTGAGGATCCAAGAGAACTCGTATGCTATATGATCACAACATGGCTTTGCCATTAATGTGTAGGTGAATAACATAGATGATTACTTAGTGGGCCCATAATTTTTAGGGGGCAGGCTCTATATGATTTCCTAAATAATATTCCCATGGATATGTATTATTCATTATACACTGCTCAACATTGAAATGCAACACCAAGAAGGAGTGGTCAGAAATTTATGCAAATTTTAGACGCATGCCACTGAGTTATGCGAATGAAATGCGCAGCTCTCTGATGCATGTGAAGTAAGACATAAGGGAAGGAACGTGCAGAATGGGCAATATCCATGCCGTTATTTCTGCCAGATGAATTATCGAAGAAAGTTGGTTTTTGTCCCAGAGGATATGTGTAATAGGAGTGAATGCCAAGCCGCCATCAACAAAGGCACTTCCAGCAGATAGACGATTTTACAAGGGGTATGGTGATTGGACTGAGAAGGGCAGGTTGGTACTTATGTCAAATCGCAGCTGATACCCACATGGATGCGAGCACGGTGCATCAGCTATGGCGAACATGGTTGGAACAAGGAAATTTGGAAAGAAGAAGGGGTGCAGGGTGCAGCCAGAGTGACGTCAGCATGCGTGGATCGACACATCCAAGCTGTGATGGCCCCGCAAGTCACTTGTAACATGATTCTACAGCATGTGAAAGATACCCTGGATGTTCCCGTGTCGACCAGAACCATTTCCCGTCGATTGGTTGAACGTGGCCTGCACTCATGGCGTCCGTTAAGAAGACTGCCATTGACACCACAGCATAGACGCCAACATTTAGAATGGTGCCGGACTGGAGCAATGTGGATGACAGAATGGCGAAACGTCATGTTCTCAGATGAGTCACGCTTCTGTTTATCCAGTGACAGTTGCCGCATATGTGTGTGGCATCAACATGGAGACAGATCTAATCCGGCAGTAACTGTGGAACGCTCACTGCACGACCACGTGGCATAATGGTTTGGGACGCTATTGCCTACGATTTCAGATCACCTCTAGTTCGTATTCAGGGCACTATGATGGCCCAACGATACTTGGATAATGTACTGCAGCCGGTGGCAATCCCCTAAATTCAGGGGCTGCGTAATGCAATTTTTCAGCAGGATAACGCTCGACCACGTAGTTCTCGCATCTGCCAACATGCTCTGCAAGGTATACAGATGCTTCCCTGGTCACCGTACTCTCCTGACCTGTCACCAATTGAACATGTGTGGGATGTGATTGGACGCCGTTTGCAGACTCTGCCCCTACCTCGTTCAGAAGACGAACTGTGGCAAATGGTTGAAAGGGAATGGAGAGCCATCCCTCAGGACACAATCCGCACTCTTATTGACTCTATGCCTAGACGTGTTTCTTCGTGCATCGTTGTCCGCAGTGGTCCTACATCCTACTGAGCCAACGCCATTCTTGCTCTGTATTCTATCATTTTGAAATAAAGATCACTTATTGCTGCTTGCTGTCTCTGTCTTTTTTCCAAATTTCATCACTTTCTGACCACTCCTTCTTGGTGTTGTATTTTCAATGTTGAGCAGTGTAACTCCAAAACAATACGACTCCAGCCCCACTTTATGACTTCCATGTTTATCTGATTTATCTAGCATCAATAGCATATGTGTGGATCTCTATGTACAAAATGCTTATTGCTTCTGACATGGACCATAAGTGTTTTTTTTTTTTTTTTTTTTTTTTTTTTACCGTTACCTAAATACATAAATTACATAAGAATCATATGGACAACATACTGCAGATTTCATTTTATTATTTTTAGGATTGAAAGGAGACTTAACCAAATTAAAAATTAAAAGTTTTATCATGCACAAACACACACATATTCCATAAAATAAGTATTCAAAAATCACCTAATTATTAAAAATATTATTGCAAAGATACTTGAGCAATACAAATTAAATAAAGCTGGATTGTTTTAGTAAAATAAAGTTATGTTTCAGATGACATGTAATCTGTATACCATTTTTTTTACCAAAATATAATGTGCTCATTAAAAAAAATGCCCCCCCCAAACGCTGACTTTTTAACTTTTGCACTAAACTGCACATATTGTTAAAAGAAATGTTCAAGTAAATTAATTTCCTTTGTTATATTGAACATAAAATATTATTAATTCTACAGTACCTTATTAGAGTGCTAAAACAAGAATTTGATGGTTTTATATGAAATGATTACCTTCCATTTCAATGGACTTGCTTCAAATACATTTAAGAATTCATCCAAAGACAGGAACCCAGTCTTCTTTATGTCTAATGTCTTAAACAACAAATAATTATCCATTTTACCTAAAAATATTGTCTGAATAAATATTACATGATTCAAATTAAACATAAAATGATAATATATAATTAATAATTACAGTCAACAATTGTGTAAACATCAATACACTACTCTGAAAATGCAGTTAACTTCATTCTGTTGCAAAGCAGTGCCATCTACCTTTCTTTCTTTTCAACAATATATTAGTTTCAGTGATATATCTTCAAGATATGTTTTAATATATTCTAGTTAACTTCAGTACTGAAAAAAGAATGATTTTCCATATAATGATCTATCTGGATAATACAATGCAAAAAAAGTCCCAACTAATATTTATCAAGCCCGTCTTCAATCCAATAATATGACCACTGGAAATTATACTCTTTTTCACTGCTTTTCTATTTCCAATATTGAAGTTAAACAGAATAATATTAAAACATATCTTAAAGATATATCACCAAATATGTTGTTGAAAAGAAAGAAAGGTAGATGGTACTGCTTTGCAACAGAATAAATGCAAACAAAGTTTTGGTTTATAGTGTATTGGCAGGCGAATGTTATGTAATGTAGTTATGAGAAGGGAACTGCATATTGGTTCATTATACAATTTAATTTCTGTGAAGGTTGGTCCTCTTTATGAATGTAAATATGTACATAAAACGATATAATAAATATTAATGATAACAAACCACTTGATGCTGTGTTACTTGGATGGGCTTCCAGGTGGTGGTGTTCTCAAGTGGTGCATCTCCACAGCAAGATGGAAGGACATTTCATTTTATAAAAAACAAAGAATTGTGAACTTTATGTTGATGTTATGAGTTGACTAAAAATACTAATACGAAAAAGGATGGATGTATCAAGACCATGCCTCAAGAATTAGTTAAAAGCATTAAATTCTAAAAGTATTTGATACGAATTTTGATAATTTGCAGTCTTAAGCACATTTACATATCAATACAAAATAATGGCACAATTAGATTACTCTAAAAGTATTTGATACGAATTTTGATAATTTGCAATCTTGAGCACATTTAACATATCAATACAAAATAATGGCACAATTAGATTAAAACAGAAGAGAAACTGCATTACAAGGCACAGTTTCTAAACTGTTAAGGAAAGTTGAAGATAATTTAGCAAAGAAGTTGAAGACAATTTAGCAAAGAAATATACAGATGATTTAAGTGAGTCGTATGAATTTTTATTAGAAAGGAAAAATAGTCAAAGAAGTAGATGAGGCAATTCATTCTGCAATTGATAAAGATTCTTTGGAAGTACATATAGTTAGTTCTGAGGAACATCAGGAAAAATGTTCAAGCTATTAAAAAAATTAATCAATTGTAAATAGATGAGAATAAAACAAGTATTAGAGATCTTGAGCAAAACACAGACTGAAAACTGTACAAAGTACTGTAAAATTTCCAAAACTAGTGTTAGAAAAATATTCAGGTGATCCTAAAAAATTTCATGGAGTTTTAGAATATTTACAAAAGCACTATGGACAAACACAAAAAAAAAAAAAGTCTTAGTATGATAGAAAAATGTACATATCTGAAAACACTACTTAAAAGTACAGTCAGTAATATATTATCTTCATTAAAATAAATAAAATGTATATCTATATGAGTGTATAAAAACTTTCAAGGAAAGATTCAGGAAAAAGAAATAATAATTAGTCTATTCATGAACAAGTTGTTAAACCTAGTAAAGAGTTCAAACAATATTAAAGCTTTAAGAAGGTTTCTTAGATGAAACTGAAAATGCAGGTAAGAATTTGAAAACCCAAGTTGTTATGAAAGGGTTATTTGTTCAGCTATGTTATTAAAACTGACTTCAGAACAGTTTGTTCTAGAATTTAATCCAAAGAAAAAAAAACCAAATGAAGAAATTAACGTATCATACTTACCGGACTTCACAAAATGTGAAATCATAAGTCGTGAAGCACCATTTTATTCACACAAGAGGAAAAAAAATACCCTGTTTCCGTGTTTCGAACATACTAAGTCAAATTATAAAAAATCTGATGTGTACACCACATGACTTCCTTGTACGGAATATTAAATTATACGCATTTTCTTGCATTTCATTTAAACTTATTGGATTGAATTAAATCTACTTCGCCAACAGCCCATAAACCACAATAGAATAAATGCATTCTTTAAAATTCACTCTGTTTACCATATTTTGTTTACCATAGTGACACTCTGGGGCTAGATTCACTTAACAGTATTATATTTCGTTCATATTATAACTCATATAGCACAAAATTTATATCTTTTAAAGAAAAGAATTACCTAATCGTTGCCACATGTTCTATTCAAGTACTATAATAAAGCTAGAATAATGTATAAAAGAAATTAAGCAAACAAAACAAAAAAGAAACAGTTTTTCACAGACGATGAGTATTTCTCATTCAATTAATTCAGTTCTCACTTCGCAAAAAGGCAAAAATACATAAAAACTCAAAATATCTATATTAAAAATTACGAAGTAAATCTTAAACACTTATTTCCTCGAAAAAATTCCAAAAAGGATTAAGCATGATTTAACTGCAATAATAAATGAAGGCATTATCTTTGTTGTTGCGAAGCTATGTTTCTCTAGATTGGCAACACATCCACTAGTCTGCTGTTTCAAATGTAAACAAACAATAGCCGCCATCAAGAAAAGGATTAGGCTTAGCGGCACTTAAACAACTTTAAAATTGTTGATAATTCTAAAAATATTGCATAGAGATTTACAAAGGCATAAACACCTTAACCGAAAGATAAAAACAACATAATTCAATCATTTTTAAAGCAAAAACATTACAAACATATAAGAGTAAAGTAAAGTAAATCTTAAACACTTATTTCCTCGAAAAAATTCCAAAAAGGATTAAGCATGATTTAACTGCAATAATAAATGAAGGCATTATCTTTGTGTTGCGAAGCTATGTTTCTCTAGATTGGCAACACATCCACTAGTCTGCTGTTTCAAATGTAAACAAACAATAGCCGCCATCAAGAAAAGGATTAGGCTTAGCGGCACTTAAACAACTTTAAAATTGTTGATAATTCTAAAAATATTGCATAGAGATTTACAAAGGCATAAACACCTTAACCGAAAGATAAAAACAACATAATTCAATCATTTTTAAAGCAAAAACATTACAAACATATAAGAGTAAAGAAACTGAGATCACTGAGCCGGGTAACAGAGTGGATACATATATAAATATGTTTATATACGTTTGGTGCGGCCAATTACAACCAAAATACGAGGAACACATCTACATGTTATAGCAGTCCTATATACAAAATTTCAACGTTCTGAGGCTACTTGTTTTTGAGTTATGCGAGATACGTACATACGTACATATGTTCGTACAGATGCCAGATGCCACGAAAAATTCTCTTCAGAATTCATTTTAAAGCAGTTTTATAATTTTTTTGGAGGAAAAGAGTCTTTTACTCTGTCCTTGCATACAGATATCACGCAAAAACATCGTTAAATTGCATTCGATAGCGGTCAAAATGGATATTTTCGTTGAAATATGCTGCCTGAAACTTTTCGGGATTACAATACTTCCTTTTTACTTTGTACAAGGAAGTAAAAACTGCCTAGAAAGGTACCTATGGCTGCCAGTTTTCATGCTGTTGATAATCGCACATGCATCTTCTGCGAAAAATTCCATTATTTATTTTCTTATGATAAAAGCATTAAAAAAATATATAAATTACATAACCAAAATAGTTGCCTTGTTTTTGAAAATTTCAAATTTGGAAACCCTGTAGAAATTAAACTAACCATTTACAGTGTGGGCTTAAATCACACCATGAATCACTATGAACGAATAATTCAAACCATAAATGCCTTTGAATAAAAATATAAAAGAATCATGAGAAAATAGACAAGGAAATTCCATAGGTAGAAAACAAAACTCCTTGAAAGACCATACCTTTCTGTTGTCCATGTAATAATTCATGTAAGAAAAATTCTTTACTCTAAACATGTTCATTATTAGCTCATTATGATGGTAAATATGAATTGACTAATTTGATTTTTGAGTGTGATGCTACATGAAATTTTGTTCATGTCTGTGTAGTGTAGAAATTGTTGGAAAAGTCTTTTTCTTTCAGAATGAAATGTGCTGTACCTAGATCATACAAAGCAATTGAATTTTATATTTTGGGTGTAAAGCAAAGGAACAAAATAGAAATAAGCCATCTCATCATAATTCTGTTACAGCTGCACAAATGATCCTGTCATTAAAAAAAAAAAAAAAAAAAAAAAAAAAAACACTAACAACGCTGAATAGATGCAGAGTGTGAACTGCTTTTCAGCTAAAAGAAGCACTAGAATCCTGATAGGTGTTGATTATTACTGGAAAATGGTAAAGGAGGAAAATATTAAATTAGGGAAGGAAATTTATGCAATTTCTACTACATTTGAATGGGTTCCAGTTGGCCTTCAAGAGAGCTACATGATTTCTCAAAACATATCAATGGTGAACTTATCTTCTTATATATCTGATTCACTGAAATCGTTATGGACTTGAGGTTTGATTGGCATTGCAAGTGACTCTGCAATTTCTCATGGGGAAAAAAGGGAAATGATTGAAGGCTTTGGAAAAAGTAATACGGGTTTGAGGTAACATATACTAAGTTGGCTTATTATGGAAATTGGAAGCAGGACAGTCAGAAAATAATTTTGAAATAGAATTAAGGTGATTTGAAATTTTCAAAAATAGACTTACAAGAATTTTTAGATTTATCAGAAGATTAAATCAATAATTGAAGAACAAATGAAGGAAGAATAATTGAGAAATGTTCGCAGGAAATTACTGAATCATCGTATTTTATGCCACACAAAGAAATAATAAAACCCAAGGAAACAACAAGCTGTAGGATTGTTTACAACACGAGATATTCTAGAACTACATTCCTTAAATGATTTTCTAGATATTGTATGAAGTTCATTCCGAATGGTTTCGAACTAAATTTTAAAATTTTGTAAACATGAAATTGCTTTTAGTAGAGAT